CTCACAACCACTAAGGAATTTGCAGTAGCTTACTAGCTAAACACAAGCTCGCATTTGAAGGAGCAGTTGCCCTGAACTAGCTTAAGTGAACTGCTGCATGTAGCCTGTAGAACTTGAGGCTTGTGGTTCATTTTTCATGTGACAAAAATGGTGTCCATATCTTTATATTTGTGCGCTTTGGTGTTTTTGTCGATTCGGGAGCTCTTCGCTGTAGGAGACATTACTAGGGATCACTGTGTGGAAGTGGCTTTCATCAATCCCCAGACTTGTGGTGTAGAAACAAAACTTTATTAACAAGAGCTAATATCAAGAACTGTTCACAGTAAAGAAGTAACAGGCTTGCTGTTGCCCTTGCAAGGGTCTGGAACCTAGACCTGTTGCTGTTCTGCCACACCAGGAAGTTCCTCCTGCCTTACACAGACTGTACCCTGGAATGCCACGTGTCGTGAACACTGTGTCGCACAGTCAGCCGTGACTCTGGAAAATCTTTCTTTTTCTTCATTCTGCTTTCCAAAAACAAGGTGTGTATTTTATTTGCGGGCATGTGATATGCAAAAAAAAAAAAAAAATCCAGTGCTTTCTGACTCACCCTCAAAGTTGGGTAAATGCTCTTCTTCACCAGTGGAAAGAGGCCATTGATAGATGGCCTTTGGCCATCAGTAGTGACAATGTACACATTTTCTGTGCAAGATTAGTATTTTTTCAATAATATTTTGCTGATTAAAAAAATAGGAGACATTACTTTCTGATTGGCCCTCATATATTATATTGCACTGAGTAATCTTCAGAACTCAAAAGTAAACTTGAGGTATTTTCTTCTTAAAAAATCTAAAGCAGCAGTCCCTGCTTTTCCCGTTTGTTTTACACCATACTTTTCAGTGTTTTAATCGTATTTATTTTCTTTTCCTTTAGAAATTTTTTCTGCACAAATTGTTGTTTAATACTTGTAGCTTTATGCATTTCAACCTTTTCTTTATATAAATTTTAGGTATGCTATTCCTCCAGAACATGGAAAACGGCTTGAACGATTAGCTCAAGGTAATATTTTCAGCATTTTTCATTAAAGGCATTCATCTTAAAGGTTTTTGATTTTCAGGGACATCTCTGATTTCATGTAAAAAATAACCTATCACTCTCCTGATTTATTGTGGTTTCATGTTTCCTAAAATGGTGGCATTTATTTTTTTGTCTGAAATGTGGTAGCTGAATATCATTTAAAATATTGCTTATGGGGTAATAAAACAATTTGATCTTTCTTCTTAATGCTTAATTTTTCACTCCTAAAATAGGTGCCATATTTTTATAGGGTGTAAATGATGGATACCATAAAATAGATACATTTCTTAGACTAGTAGCAGATGATCTGTTGTTTGTTATGAGCTATATTAACTCTGAAATAACTCAAGTTAATTTTTGTTTTAATTAGATAGTGTAGGTAAGGTTATTTCTTTATGTTCAAATATATAAATTCACGAGTTCATTTTTTATTTTACCCAAGTGAACCTAAAGTCTATGTGCTAATGGAGTGCTTGTATACATAATGCAAACACAAATTTGTGCCCTGAAAATTTTGTGTTTGTTGCTTTTTTCTGTGGGTTTTTTTTTTCTTTAATCTGGTCTCAGGAGAGGAGTACTACATGCTGTATTTGAGCTGAGTCACTGAGACAGAAAACCAAAGTGAATATCAAATGCTTGTGATCACTAAACTCTGGGGCCCTGGCCAAATTCCCACTTAGCTAACTATATTTTACATATTTGAACTTCCTGTGTAGTTTCAGTTGAGGAAGTTCTTACACATACTGTCTCTTCCAAATCCTATTATGTTTTATTGCTGGAGGAGGATGTCTGATTATATACCATCATATAGCTCGTAGGTCAGATACAGACATTTAAAAACCTGAGGTGGAATCAATATAAGTTATGCCGTTTCCTGTAAGCGGTGTACTTTAGATCGGTAGTGAATAGAATGCATGTTTGCCAGGGGGGGGGGCGAAACTTAAACCAGGTTCCACCATTTTTAAACCTGCCTATACGTGGCGAACTTCTGTTTTGTTATGAGTATAGACTGGTTTTGTGTGCCAAGCTTCTGTTCTGTTACAGATATAGAATAATTTCCAATCACTTATACTGTAAAAGCGTAATATATGTACCTAGCTATAGACTTCATTAGTAAATGGGTTTTCAGTCTGGCTTTGATATGGAGGAGGCCAGCTGATTTTGATGGAAGATCACATGGCCAGCCACCATATTCACGGGCTGGTCATGGCAGTCCTCCCCTCCATGCCTCTTGCTGAGGGCTGTCTGTCATGTGGCCCCACTGCCAATTGGTGGGGGGGGGCTGCCTTCATGTGGGCAGCCCCCCTGTTGCCCGTCCCCCTTCAGCAGGCTATGCAGCTGAGCCACAGCACTGTGAGGACTGCTGGCTCACTCTGGGGAGCTAACATTTCATTTTCTGTAAGCTTGCTTTCTTTCTTTTCCACAATTTTGGTAGGTCCCTATCCGTATCTTCATCAATAACTTGGAAGAGAAAGTTATACAGATGATATACAGATGATATCAGGCTGGGTGGTGTGCCAGTTGCTTTGGAGGATGAGATTAGGATTCAAAATGACCTTGATAAAATATAGAAATGGTCTGAAATTAAAAACCTGAAATTTGAGGAAGACAAATGCAAAGTACTATATTTAGGACAGAACAATTAAATGTACAAATACAAACTGGGGAAATGACTGGCTTTGTTGATGTGCTACAAAAAGAGGATCTGGGGTTTATAATGAAGTACAAACTGATTATGAGTCAACAGCATGCATTCACTGCAAAAAGGGCAATAACAGTGGGTTGTATCAACAGGAGTGTCCTCTTCATGTCAAGGGAAGTGATTTTTCCATTCTATTCAGCACTAGTGAAGTCAAGGAGAATAGGACTGGGACAATATGCCAGTAAGAAAACAAAAGTCTGCATCAAGGACACAGTGGAGGTGATGGGATCAGACTTTTGGGACTTGAGTAGAAGAGACAGTGTACACTAGAAGTCATTCTTCAGAGCCTGTAATGGAACTCGGGGGGATGTGAAAAGTCTCTTGTTCCTTACACTGTAGCTGCACATAAAGGCTAGTACTACCTATTACTGCTCTTGTTTACTTTGTTAGCTCAAGTTGCAAAGGTTTGTGTGGTGAATATAAATGCTCCAACTCTGTTAGTGTCAGTATGATGCTGCATGCACATTTTTCAGTTTACTTTAAAAAATCTAGAGAATTAGATATAAAAAGAACCCTTTAATAGAACATTAAGTTGCAAAGTTGCACTCACAAGCTAGGACATGTCCAAGTGAAAGGTATTTATGCAACCTTACTTCATCCCCTTTTATTTATTTGCCTTCTGATTGCTAGCTCTTTGTGTGTTTGTTTGGGTTTTTTTTCTTTTCCCCATGGGGCCAGGGGACCTGGTCTGGGGATATATCAGGGTTGTGTAGTTAAGAATACTGTTGTCTTTAGTATCCGTTTCTCAGCTGTTGCAGAAATTGAAGGATATATAATGTATGAGACTGCAGATTGAAGGTGGAGAAAGGAGAGTCTTTTGGTTAAGACATTTGAATATTTTTCAGGAGAATTTAATTCTGTGTATATCTCTACTGTGAGGTTTAGATATGAGCATTTAAAAAGTAATAATTTGTGGATTTTTTTTTTTTTACTTTAATGTTTCAGTTTTTACCCGAATAATTTGTGTTTAGTTTTTCTTGGGGCCTGATTCAAAGCTTACCGAAAATGTTAGAGTGGCTACAATTGACTTTGCCAGTTTTTGGATCAAGTCCAAGGAGATGCTAGTCACTTAGATTGCAGAAGAAACTTAGTTTACCTCAACATAATTTAATTTAGCATAGGGGTGTCCAATTTATCCGGCCCATATGGCAAAGAGCTGGTTCACGGGCTGCACCAGACTTACAGACTGGTCTTGCATTGTGGATCCAGAGTTGCTGTTGCCTCAGGGCTGCAGAGCACAGCCCTAGAGCCACCGCTGCTTGCAACATGGCCCTGGAGTAGCATGTAGCTGCCCTGGGGCTGTGTTGCTCATGGCAGCTGTTCTACCGCTTTGGAATGTGAACTAGAATGGGCACCCTGTGCAGCATGTGAGCACATCTGGTGAGTCCCGCATGCTGCCTGTGGGTCACTCTGAGACTGCAGGTCATATCTTTGACACCCCTGCTTTAGCAGGTATTTGAAGGTAACAGTCCTACTACATTTTTCAGTTACTTCAGATAGTTCAATTCTTCATTCAGTTTAAAAATGGACCCCAACAATTACTTTGTTTTGAAAACATATGGAGGATTTCAGTGATATGTTAGTTTTATGTGTGTACACTTATTATGAGAGTTTTGGCATACTAACAAATATAAACATACCACTAAGTAAAAAGCTGGTATGCTTAGTAGTCCAGTAAATTAAATTAATGATATTTGTAATCTTGAACTTTTATCAGGGCAAAGTATTTTCATAAGTAATAAGATGGAAAATTTCCCAATTCTGGCTATTAAATTAGGGTAGAATCTTAAAGGTAATTATCTGTATATTTAAGAGTTATCATAATGATCTTTTGTGTTCCAATGGATGATACATGCCTATATTTTCTTTAATAATTTCCCATAATTTCTAATTATTTCCATGCTAGTGGAATTGAGGTGTGCGTGCTCTTTCTGCTATAGTTTCTGCCTGTAAAAACAGTCAACTTTTTCAGCAAGCTGTCTTAAAATGATGAAAATGTCATGTCAGCCACATGGCTGCAATTTACCTAATCAGTAAAGGTTAATAACCTTGCAGGATGAATGAGGACTACAGACTTAATTACATGTTTATTCAAAACTGGTTGTACAGATTTTTTTTGCACAACTGCAACTTAAAAAAAAGGCTGCATAATTCAAGAGGGTTAGTCCCACTGACCAGATACCTACTGAATTAATTGAATTCTCCTAAATAATTAAAATGATAAAATAATGCAGTAAGTGTGACAGGTTGTCTAGGTCAAGGCAGTACTTGATATATAAAATTAAAGGAGGGCTATGATATTTTCCATTATCTTGTCTGCACATCATAATTATCACACTTGCCTTTTATGCATGAATGCTTTCATCTTTGGTTTCCATTGAAATCTTGATTGACTGTGGCACCTACAAATATTTTATCTGAAAGACATTAAACTTGCATATAATAAAGGCAGCAGTTTGATTTTGCCCTTCAGCTGCTTTCCCATTTATGTATTTTTTTTTTCCAATTTTATGTAGACGTAAATGTAATAAAAATCTCAAGTGAGCTGTTATTGCAGTTTTTAAACCCATTGTTATGTTCTTCTGTAATACCTTAGAATTCTTAAGGAATTTTTGTTTGACAGACTTGGCTAGAAAATAAAGGGAAAATAGAGGCAGGGTGGCAAATCATAAATGACAGCTTGGAAGATTTCAGGTTCTTTTAATAGATCCCTTAATTGCACATGCTATTTTCTAAAAGAGTTGATATCTATCTGTGGTGTTCAATTATGTTAAACGAAGTAAGAGACTAAAGTAAGGTTTAACATATTATAAGCAGTGAAATAAGAATGTTTTAAAAACCCTACTGTAGTATATAGCGTGAGCTAATACCTATATTTTATTAATAAAAGTATAAATAGCTCCTGAAGTGAGACTTAAGCAGTTTGAAATATAATTCCCCAAACTGTGGCAGCTGAAGAGTTAAAGCTTTCGTCAAATGCTTATTTTAGTCACAATTAGTGAAACTGCACATGAACAGAAGATAAATATAGAATACTACATATTTATGTGTGAATAGTAACACTCACATTTCATTGCATGCACTTGCCAGCTTTAATGATTGAAATAAGTTGTATTTAAAAGGAGGGCCTCTGTCTCTCTGTGGGGACTTTCATGCTCATCCTCTTTATTTTTTCATTTTTCTTGTAGTCTGAAGAATGACAATACAGGGTTAAAACCCTGTATAATTAAATAACTATATTGAGAGTCTAACACATTTCCAAAGTTAAAAAAAAAACATG